ATTAATGTTATATTAAAAAAATTGAATCAATTTGACTGTAGCACAGTTGACAAATGTTTTTTTATTATACACACATGTGTTTTGGTCTTCAAAATATTTAACGGTTAGACTATTTAAAACTTAATCCGTCATTCAACGATGGGTTTATTATCTAGTAATTAATTAAAATAACAATTATGTGATATAACCAATAATATAATTATTTAATACTATCAAAGTTTTCTTTTTTGCTAGTTTGTTATGGAAAAAGACTGTTGTGTATTATATCGTATTATAATAAAGCTGTTTTAACAAGGTATATTTATTATAGTATGGTATTTGATATAAATAATTGCATGAAGTAAAAATTTACATGCTTTTATCGACGATTAAATAAAACCATTTTTTTTTCTCCATATTGTTAAAGGAAGTTTAAATGTATTTTTTGTATATCTAATACATTTTATATGATCAATTGTTTTAATCAAACATTGGTGGATAATATGTAGGGTAAATGTATCGGTATTGCTAAAAAAAATTCTCTAGATAAACTATAACAAAAGTTCACCAATAATATAAAGTAATACTAATATAAAAATAATATTTAATACATATGAAATTAATATTCTGAAAAAAAAAAGGTGGTTATTAAAACATAGAAGTATGAAATGACACGATTTATATGTTTATTAATTTAAAGACTCAATTATGGCATTTTCATAGTAAATATATTCGTAATAATTTTATAAAATTATTACAAAACAATATAATGAATAGTAATGAGATAATGTAAAAATCAATATTGTATAATAACATGAAAAAACTCCGACAAAATAATATGTAAACCAAGTACTTGTAATATCTTGATTATTTTAAACCTTGTTCTGTGAAGTTTTAGAATAGTACTTTTGTATATGATTGCAGATGAATATATTTCAACTTGAACCAGGCGAATGTTCATCCAAAAATCAAAAATATTTCGATTTGCCCTTTAATGGATTTGAACATGCATTGTTCAAAATGTAAAAATATTCCATAGTGCTGGATCTAATCGTTATGTAATCAAGCTGCGGATTAAGAAACTATGCCTTGAACAAGTACCGAAATCGGAAACCCGGATAAACCAACTATTTGTCGTATTGCATTAGCGGATAAATATACTGATGGTTTGAGAACTAGGGTAATTCTGCTAGTCTGATTGCTTGTCGTCATGTATAAACAACAATGTTATGATGATAGATATTCTCACACTCCCATGAATCAATGTATAACCATTATATTTCAATAAATGAGTAGCTGTTTTTGTTATGATTAAAGTTTGTTATTCAAAATAGTGTATAAATTAATATACTTGGATCGAGGTGATATACGTACAAGTGATTCGCCGCCAAGGTGTGATGTGTCTGTAGAAAGTGATGTGCCCGCAGAACGTGAAATGTGATATTGATGTCGCGGATGATCTACTTCGAGTGTATAGTCAACATACAAAGATGCTTCTAAAGTGACGTTCTAATAAGTACTATGCCTACAAGTATAATCAGAATAATGTACATAGAACCTTAA